CAGATCGCTGGGCGGCGGTGCCGGCGCCGGCGGCGGGCGGGCGGGCGGCGGGCGGCGCAGTGCGGCCCCGGCCGGGCAGGACCGCGGGGCCGCCCGCCGCCGCCATTGGCCCGCGCTGCCGGCCCCCGCCGCCACCCATTGGCCGCCGCGCTGCACCATTGTTACGTCACCGGTCGGCGGGCGGGGCGCCCAGGAGGACCCGCGGAAAAGTTGGGAGAAACTTGAGGGCGCGCGGGGGGCGGGGCCGGGATGGGGAGTGAGCGGGGAGGGGCTCCCGGAAACCCGAGTGGCCGGCGAGAAAAGGCTCCGGGCTTCGAGCTCCCGGCGGCGGGAGACCCGCGCCGGGAAGGGCCCCTGGCCCCCGCCTGCAGTGCCCCAGCTCAGTGAGAGACTGGGCGCGCACTTAGGCGCTCCGGCTCCGCCGAGCGTGACTTTCTTTGGCACCCCACGAGTCGTATTCCACGTCCCCTTTACGCTGACCCTCTGTGACCTTGGGGATGACCTCCTCCGGGACTGTTTTCCAGGACTGTACGTGGGTCCATGATCACCACCAGATTTACAGAAAACGATCATGGGCCAGGGGTGGGGGGGTACAGGGAACACTGGGCTAGGAGTCCAGGCTCTACCTCTGCCCCACCTCACCTGTCCTTTCCTCCCTGCTTTAGTCCTCAGTCTCCCTACAATTTCTCCCAGCTGTCCTGTTCCAGACCTCTCTGATGGGTGGGGCAAAGTGAATGGAAATCCTGGGGTTGCACGGTTGACATTGGCCTTCTGGAGCCCCCAGACCCTGGGAGACAACGTAGGGAGGTGGTGTCCCAGGTGAACTACCTGTGGCTCAAGACGCTAGCTGCCCTGCTCCCATGTCCCCATTCTATTCTTCAAGGGCTGGAGTGAGACCTCACACCGTCTCCATGGCTACCAGTGGAATGAGGGTGACAGGGAATCAGCTGTAGGTGCCTGGTATGCAGCTGGCCTCGGGGCAGGTCTCTCTCCACCCCTCAAACCCTCCTCACCTCCCGCTTTGACGTGACCTCGTCACTCTTCGCTGGGTTTCCCGAAGGCCTCTCTCAAAATCAAGTCCGACCCTGAAATGGGAGGGAAGGGGGCAGGGCACAACCTTTAAAAGAATGACACAGCCCGAGGACACGACACAAACTGATTAGGACCAAAGAGGTCCAAGATGGTGAACGAGTCAACTTCCACTAGACCCTGAGCCTCGGTATACGCTCCCTGTAATATATTAGCATATGCTAAATGCCACACCCACAGGCGCCGCGCGACACTTCCAAGGCCAACCATCTAAAAGTGGGCGGTGGCCCAATTCCTGGATATCCCGCCCCTTCCCTAAAATAGCTGGAATACTCCTCGCACTCATTAGCCTGTGAAACTACCCACCCCTATAAGAACTAACAACCCTGTACCCTGGGGCCACTCTCTCCTTCTGAGATGGCTCACACTCTGTCTTGTGGAGTGTGTTTCTCTCTAAAGAAATCCACTTCTTACCCATCACTTTGTCTCTGACTGAATTCTTTCTGCGATGAGACATCTAGAACCACAGCTTCATTAAGTCCTGAGACCAGATGTGTGATCTCAGTTAAAAGACAGTGGGTTCGAGTCCCAGCCTGTGGGTCCAAGTCCCAATCTAAGTTGCACGGTTTCAACCCCATTTCTCCACTACCTAGAAAGCTTCCCATGGACATGGACTTAGCCAGAAAGACCAAGGGGGGCAGAGGAAAGGCATTCCT